AAACAGTGGAGAATGACATAATGGTTTACATTTCAAAAATAAATTATGAGGTGTTTAATGGAAGCAGCCTGATTTTATTTGCTATCTTACCTTTAAAGGGACTCTGGGCAAGATCAGCTGACACAAATTTAACACCTGCTTAGAAAATAACATGTATCTGTCACTTTCCTTCCAAAATGAAAGTGAACAGCATAGCTAAAAATTCTACTTGAAGACCCAAAATCAAATGCCATATATTTCTAGAGTTACTATGGTAGCACTTAGATGAAATTCTGCTTATCAAAGACCTTCTCCTTAAAGCTACTGACTCCACTATCCAGATAAATAAAATACACAAGTCTGAATTGAAATCTAAAACCAATTAACAAAAGAGACAGGAGCATACATGTTTTATTAGCAATCTACAAATGACTTTTCCCCATTTCCATGCACACACACACTTGTTCTATAGTACAGAAAATCGCAGCTGAGAAATCCGAGTCCACTCTCACTTTCTCAGAAGATTCTGATTACAGTGCTACCTCCTCTAAGACACGCTAACTGAAAAGATCTATACCAGATAGACTGGTAGTTTTTAATTTTAATTATTTTCAAAGAATACCAGCTATGCCAACAGAACTCACAGTTAGAAATGTTCAATTAAGAAAAAACAAATGATGTTCTCACAGTAAAATAGCTCTAAACTGAAACTCAACTCTCTTACAAACCAAGAAACATCCTTATGAATTTTACTAAAAAATGTTTTATAATAGCTGTAAGTATAAATTTTGTTATTCCAGAATTTTGGATTACCAGAAGAATAAAGTTCTCCAGTATTTCTGGTATATTTTTTAGCAATGCACTATGCTTACTAGCAACCACTTTGCTTGTCTGTACCTACGGAAAGAATAATGCTCCAGTTCTAAATGGACTGCCTGGACTCTGTGATTGTCTCAAGCTCACTAAGAGGTAGCTAACCGGCCTACCTCCTGAGGTGTATACCTTCCCCAGGAGCACACTTAGGAAGCACTGTTAACTCCCCATGAACAAAGCATTTACTTACCATAAACAGCCTTAATTGATGCTGTTGCCTTAACCTCTACTCATGAGGCTAGACTAAGACTTTTAGTAGGAACAACAGACATGTAATTCAGAAATCAGTGCTTAAGAAGTAAAAATACTGAGCAAGGAAATATGAAGTTAAACTTGCATTAATATTCTTCTTCCAGTTTAATAATTTTTTGGTAATTATTCCTTATATTTCCCACAGCACTTAGCATAGGATTGTACAGTATAAATAGCTAATACATATTTTTGAAAGGAAGGAGTCAGAAGAAGAAAAGGATAGCCTCAGGGTAAAGGGAAGGAGGGAAGAGAGAAAGGAGAGTTAATGGCACTAAATGAATTTAGTTTTATGGGGAAAACTAAGCAAATCTGTTTACACTAATGTTTGCATAAAAATGGGGGAAAGCAGAACAATAAAAATGCCTTAAAGCTTGTCCTATCAAACAGTTTCCAAGTGATGGCTTTGTGTCAGTAACACCCAATGGAAGGTATTTTCAACCTACATTCTATTTTGCCCTTTGTTCAGCAGTCCGTTCCACATAGTCAGAGCAGAGGAGTCTCCCCAAGGGGCTGAGATTAGGATTCTAGTCTCAACAGTTAAACAACAGAGGGTCTTTTGTCAACCATTAAAATATTTGTTATTTTCTACACTACAGTGCCTACCATGCCAATATTTGAAGGAAATACCACACAGTAGCAAAGTGGCTAAATATAAGCAGATTTTGTCGAAAGTAAATGATATATATTTAACTATTCTGGATTTTTGTTTAGATTGATACTGGTTTTCAGTGGATAGTGCTCAAAGCCTCAGATTTGTAGCTTGCATCATCAAGCTACCAGTCTTCATGGGAATTTACAAGTCTTTCAGTTAAATCAGATATCTAATCACAAACCTCCTATCTCTGAACAATGAGGGTATTCAAAATCCAACAAATATTCATTTGAAATGTACTTTCAACCATATCATATCAAATATGGACATGGTTTCTTTTGTGTCTTGATAAGCATAATATAATTTTTAGTATTTAGCAGTAGATAACAAAGTACATTAGTACTGGAATAAGTATATTATGCTTTATTGTTCTTTGGAGAACTTCTCTCTCCATATGTGAGCATCAGTAGATAACAAAGTACATTAGTACTGGAATAAGTATATTATGCTTTATTGTTCTTTGGAGAACTTCTCTCTCCATATGTGAGCACTGAAGACTCTACCTGTATGTGTGAACAGTCTTCCCCACCCATCTCATCCTATCCTCCCACCCCAAATCTTCCAGCATAGAGAATATAAACATGTAAGTAAATCCAAAATATATGTGAATCCACACAGTGAGTTCAGTTTTCCACAGAGAAAAGGAAATTACATTTCAAAGTTACATTGTCAGATTTATTTCATGCTTGCTTCTGTTTTGACTATCAATTCTAAGAAAATTGTATTGACCAACTTTAAAAATGCTTAAAAATGTGAGAATAGAATGGAAATACTGATGCATCTATAGATTAAGAAACACAGTTCAGTCTGTTAAATAAATTTTGTCTTTTAATTCCAACTACAGAATTCCCTTTCCATATACTCAAATCTGGAATTTGCATTTACACTCATAGATACAACCTTTTGGAAAAGTATAAGGGAATATACTTATTCACAGTTTCAAATCAAAATTTTAAGATGTATTCAAAAACACTGCCTTCAAGAACATTTTGTCCACAGTATTATACATTTTGAGACTCAAACATTTTTATATAATATGTTCTACTCAGTCCTGAAAATAAACTGAAGAAGGAAAGATGATGTTTTATCTAAACCAACTCTGCTCACCTCAAGGTTGCATCACTTCATTTCTAAAATAATTAAAATCTTTCTCCAGAAATATAAATTATAACACCTGTGAGATAAGAGTTCTAATACTTCTTTCATCACTGTATTTCACACAAACTGTTCTCTGAAGGAAAAGCGATTTATCCAACAAACCACAGATACCACCTGTAACCTAAAATTTCTAATATTGCAAGGGATAAAGAATGATGACATAGAATACCACATTTACAATGGAAAAGCAACCCAAATGGCTTTCAGCCATGTGCCTGCCCTCTAAAAGTGAGTCTGAAACCAAAGTGCTTCTTTGGAACTTTAAATTGTTTAGGTACCCATTAAAATTCAAATGAGTCACTCACTGTGTTCACAGTTTAAAATAAATGTTAAAAATTAAGACCTACTAATGAAACACAAGTAAAATAATGTTTGACTTTTCAATTAATTTTGAAGTCCTCAAATATGAATATGATTTTCCCATATTACACTTACTGCCACAGATATGCTTGTTTTCAGGGTTGTTTAGTCCTAAAATGGAGCTTAGTGGTTAAGATCAGGTCTTTGGAATGACAAAGGGCCACTTACTTGATAGGACCTTGGAAAAGTCATTTAACCTCTCTAAGCTTCAATTTCCTTATCTACTTTCCTGAAGATAACTGAAGAGCACTTACCTAATGCCTGGTTACAGTAGGAGGACAGTAAGTAATAGCTGCTGTTACTAGTATTACCAATGAAACCTCTGCACAGAATAAGAAATGGCTTTGTAATTCCTAAGGTTTTCTTAAAAAAACAAAAACAGTCAGATTTAGTTCTTTCTATAAATGAAAAATCATGGTAGTAGAAGGAGAGGTGAATACCTGAAGGAGGTAAAACAGATCAAAAACCAAAACCTACAAAAAACCAAACAACCAATAAAATAATAGTGACCAATACCTTGGAACACTTAAAGGAAAACTGTCAAGGACATAAGGAAACAGGTGATCGGTTTATGCCTAAAGCTATCTTTGATAAAGAACTCAAACATCAGTATAGAGGCAGAAAAATAATTTTTAAAGAAATTTCCACCCCAGTCTAGAAACAGACAACTAAAGAATGAAGTAAACATTTTGTATCCAGTGAAAGGTAGAGGAAAATTTTTTGACTTATTTCGGTTTCAGAGATTAAAACTGGACAACTTTCAAATCTACTTTGTTCTCTATCCAATATGGTAGCATGATCTAGTAAGGAAGTGAGAAGCTCCCACACCTGCTTTGGGTTTGTCTGTTGGTTGACCATAAGAATCTCCTAGGATAGTTGACAAAATAAATACAGAATTGGAAGCGTTATCCTCTGAATTCTACCAACTAATCACACTTCAGTACATAAAATACACAACACAGGTAATGTCTCAGAACATTTAAGAGCTATATACTTCAAGTATCTGATATAAATCAATTTAATATTTAAAAATAAGTATAAGGAACCATCTCTAGTTTATATTTACAGATGCAGAGTTCAATGACTCTGAATACAAATAAATTCTTAATATTCATTACCCATTACTTAAACATTTATTCAGTCTTTCTTATTTATGACCACTATTTTAGTGGTCACTGACACTGTTTTTAACAAGACAAAAATGATCCCAGTGTTGATGGAGCTTGTACTCTAGTAGAGGACACCCTATAAATAAATAAGAATATATTATGTGATAATAAATATCATGATAAAAATAAATCAGGGTTGTGTGATAAGCAGTAACTGAGAAACTATGTCAGATTGGTTGGAGAAGAAAGCTTGCTCATTACATTTAAACATCTACTCCCACAAGGCTGAAATTTGCTACCAAAATAAACAGCATCTATTTTTTTATTACACATAAAAATAAATGTTTCTGCCAGCCATGAAACTGTAATTCACCTCATCCAATAGGGATCTGTAAACTCTTCCCAAATACATACAGTAAATACTGATAAACATTTTACCTTCAAATGTCATTTCCAACACATTCACAGAAAAATTTCATAATAAAACAAATTCTGACAAATATATATTTGTTTATCCATATTCATTTATTTACATATTATTTTGCTAAACTATAGAGTAATTTTAAAATATTTTAAAGATTAAAATATTCCATCAGAAAGGCTTAATTTTAACTCACCTGTGCCTGTACACAGTGCAGATCTATAAATTTGTAGCCAAATCCAAGAGAAATCTGCAATATAAACAAAAAAGCATGAATAAAAATGCAAAATCCTGTTAGACTATTAGAGAGGATGTGATTTTTATAACTAATATATAAGAAATATTCATTAATAACATGTCTCCATTAAATTGTATGGCAAATCAAGAAGTAAATCTCTGCATTACTTCTATTTGTACAAGATAATGTAAAATATATAAGGCCACATTTCACTGTGAATTATTAAGTGTCTACCCTACAAATTCTGAGTTCCTGCCATAACACATTACACCTATCTTCTAGCTGCTATCAAATTCCTAAATACTGAAGCTGAGCAAAAGCAGAGACTCAAGCTACCAATTTGCACACTGCTCTCCGAGGACTAGCCCAGTGCCTAGACATAGTGACAAAGGGCACATTAAGCTTTACTGAATATATAAATAAAATTCACATAGTAATCTTTATTTGCTGTGATTTATATGAAACCAAAGGCTTGAAATTACTGACATAAAAATCTATGTCATAATTGTTTAAGATATAACTTGAAAAGTGACTGAATAATTTACCTCATAAAAAGTCTTGAAGTTGAAATTATGCCATATATGACAATCATTAACAATCCGCAAGAGCCAATGTAGATAAGACAAAGAAGAAATGAACATTTTCAATAATGAGGGTAGCTGCTCCCCAAGTTTCTTCTGGGTGCATATGTTTCAGAACAAGAAGCTTAACCAGGAAAGACTACAGCATTTTCTCTGACCACACCAGGATCACTTGCCACACTAAGTTTGTTTCCAAGATGTACTGCGAGGAACAACAAACACAAAAAATATGTGCTTGTGATATTTTGTGTTTTAATGTTTTCTATTTTTGTATTTGATGGGCCCTAGGAAAATCACTTGATTGTCACTAGTACTGCTAACTAGTAGTAGTATATCTTTTCTTTAACAATTATATACTGTTAGATTTAATCAGTTTCAAGGAATGATTTTATAACTGAGCTACTAGACTTTTTTTTCCTTCAGAGGGCACCAATTACTAATAATTCACACTTTGATTCATTATCAAATTTAAAACAGTATTAGCTCTCGTAAGAGCCTTTTTACTCTTTAGAATAATAAACAGAACCTAACAGTACAAACAAAGCTAATACTAACTTTGTATCCAAATGACCACTTTTCTAGGGCACTGGAAACATCTGAATTCATAATCTTAAGAGGGCTAAAGGGGATAGAAATAGAAAAAAATTGCATTTTGGTTTTTACCAAGACCTGATCAGCCTGGAGATAATCATATGTAATGAAATGCAGTGAGGGTATTAGTCAGAGATAATTCATGAGAAACAAAAGGAAATTTGTATGCAAATAAGAAGTTATCACAGTAAGTAAAACAAATAGGTTCTCCTCTAATGGCAGTCAGTGAGTAGTGTGCAATAATCTGTTATGTAATAGTAATAGGAATGAGTAGTGTGCAATAATCTGTTATGTAATAGTAATAGGAATCATCAATTTTTTCCAGCACTACTGGTGTAGATGTATTCATTATGCTGCCCTAGTTAAGACCATTATAATTCTATACTAACACCTAACTTGCTCAAGGACATTATACTATGCAACTATCAAGAGCTAAAACTTGTGATATTAGTAGGAATGATTATATTAAGTCATTAATGCTTGATCTATACTATTCACAAAGTTTCTATTAATATGCTAATATAATATGAGAGAAAAGTGTCAATGCATCCATGCTAAAGTAAGAAACATAAGAAACATGAAGCTATAAGAGACATTAAGATGTGGATAATTTCCACAGTAGTGATATTCTGCTGTAACAGTTTAAGCAAGAGGAATGAATAAAACACTTACAAGCAGAATTACAAAATGTTTAGTAAGTTACTAAACAATAGCCATTTAAAGCAGCAGCACAGGCCACAACTCCTTACTGATTAAACAGGCCACTACTCTTCTATTAGTCCTCATAGTTTTCACAAAGTTCCTTTAGGAATGAATTTCAAGGGAAGGTGAGGGGAAGACTACCTTTGGCCAGGTAGGAAGACAGAAGACAGGAGCCCTTGCAAGAAAAGGCAGAGAGATACAGTATAAATTTCTCTCTTACTATCACTATTTCCACTATACGAACTGAAAGGATACACCTCCTCTCCACAAAGCAAAAGGTCACTATTAGAAGACAGCAAGGAACAGATGAAAAAACCTGGAGTTAAGTATCATCAGACACACTAGGTTTCAAAATCTGGCTTTATCATGTAAACACTGCTGCTGCTAACAGTCTATCACCAACAGCAGCTTAGGTAGGTATGTGGCCTAGGAAATGTGACTGTGCGCTCAATTATAAAATGAGACTAATAACGTCCTCTTTACAGCACCTTGGAAGAATTAAATGAAATAATTACATAAAGCACCTGATACATACTAGGCATTATGACCCTGCCAAGTACGAACTTTTTACATGTTGTTGGTTATGGCAGGTAAATCATGAAAGTGATGAAAAACAGAAGTATCAGGCCAATCCTACCCCAGCTAGAACTGATTTTCCTGGGATGTCCTCTAATGGCTTTATCCATCCATAATCCTCCAGAGAGACATAAACACAGAGGCTGCTGAGATATTTTTGAACCAGGGCTACTTCAAAACTACATCAAAAGTTGAAAGATACTACCTGATTTCAAATCTTTGTATTATAAAGTTACGATAATCAGAACAATGGGGTACTGGCATAAGGACAAACAACAGAAGAGAACAGAGTCCAGAAACAGACCCACACATCCATCCATATTAATTAGTTTTCAACAGAGATGGCAAGGTAATTCATTGAGGAAAGGACAGTCTCTTCAATAAATAGCATATATGAAAGGGAGGAAAAAAAGAACCTTGACTTGTACCATGTACAAAAATTAACTCAAAATGGACAGGATCATAGATCTAAAAGTAAGAACTAAACTACAAAACTGGCAAAAGAAAACAGTTGAAGATAATTACTGTGGATTAGGCAAAAAAAATTTAGATATGATACCAAAGGCACAAAAAAAAAAACCCAAAAGGACCATAAAAGAAAAACAACAACAACAAATTCCATTAAAATTAAAATGTCTACTCCTCAAGACATAATGTTAAAAATGAAAAGGCTAGCCACAGACTTGGAGAAAATGCTGACAGAATAACTATCTGATAAAGTACATGCATTTGGAACTAAATAAAGAGCTAAATAATCAAATAAAACATACCTATCTATAATATATAAAGGACTTACACTTCAAAATAAAAAAATTCAACTTTCTAAAATGAATGAACTATGTGAAGAGATTTTACATAGAACACAAGATATATACAATGGGAAAGTACACAAAATATTACTAAACACCATTAGTCATTAAGAAAATGGAAATTAAAATATAATGAAATATCCTGGAAATCCAGTAAAATATCTAAAATGTTGACAAGGATGTGGAAAAGCTAGAACCCTCATAACACACCCCTTGCCACTGGGAAAGTACAAGGGTATGGCCATTTTGGAAAACAGTTTGGAAGTTTCATCATATCACTCAACAATTTTACACCAAGGTTTGTGCTTTCATTTATCTTGGGGATGGATGACCATACAAAAAGTAGAACTTGAATGTTCCTAGCAGCTGTGTTCAGAATAGCCAGAAACTGAAAACAACTCAAATGTTTATCAGTTGGAGAATGGATTTTTTTTAAGAATGTGGTACATTCACACAATGGAATACCACTCAACAATAAAAAGGAATGAATTACTGATACATGCAATGACATGAACGAACCTCAAAAACATTGTGTCAAATGAAAGAAACTAGACACAAAGACAACATACTGTAGATTCTACTGATTTGAAATTTTCTAGAAAAAGTAAAACTATGTAGATAGAAAATAGATTGATAGTGTCCTGGGTCAGAAAATAGGAGAGGGCTGACTGAAAACGACACAAGAGAACTTTGCAGGCTGACAAAATTGTTCTGAAACTGAATTGTGGTGACACTAAACAAAAATATAGGAAACATGAGACATGCGTAACTAGAAATTTACTGAAACTCATTCTTTATTTCATTTAAAATGGGTGCATTTTATGGTAGGCAAATTATATCTTAGTTTTTTAAATGCTAAAAAAGTTTTAGTGATTTTTTAAAAAATATACCTCTGTGTCCCTGCTTTCTTCCTATGTGATAGCTAAGGCTGTTATATGAGATCTCAGAGGAAAAGGCAGTTCTAGTAGCAAATGGTAACATGAACATTTGCCAAGTAAGCATCAACAAGCAGGCTGCAGAAGTAACACATCATTACTTTGAGGCAAAAATTCAGGATTGAGCCTACATTGTACATAAAGATTGCTGGCAGCATGACAGCTGCATGATTTTTTTTAAAGTTGGGGGGTGGAGTTAGGGGGAGATATGCTTAATATTTTACTTTATTACTATTATTTTTTTAAGTGAATGCTTAGGAATAGAACCAGAGGAAGCAAAGTAAGCAGGGAGGAAAATGAAGTGACATCTAAACTTCTATCATTATGACTACTAGAATGAGAGAAAGGCCACACTTCACTTTTCATTTACTACTACACCCCCCCCAACCAATATCATCAATAGATATCACTTATTGAATCCTTATTTTGAGACCACTGGGCGGAGGGTTTTATATCTCTATTTCCTACATCTTCCTAACAACCCAGTGAGGTAGGTACTGCTACTCTCTCTCCATTTGGCAGATACAGACAAACGTAACAGAGAAGTGAAGTGCTTTTGTCCAAGGTCACAGAGCTGATGCAGGAGCAAAGCCTGGATTCTAACCCAGAGTCTGGCTGCAGAATACATGCATGCTCTCACAGATTGGGATGTTACAGAAGTTTACTGTTTTGATAATGCTATCATTTTTGTCAACTTGATTTGAAAAAGAAAATAGCAAAACGTGATCAACCGGTAAACTGTCTTCTTGAGGTTTTTGGTATGGTATGAACAATAACAACAAAGCATGTTCCCCACATCATCCACCCCTGGCTGACAC